ACATTACTGCAGTAGCTACTGACGGTGCACCTGCTATGGTAGGCCGTTACAGAGGATTTTGTTCATCTTTCTGAAGGAAAAGGTTCCTAAAGTACAGTACATACTGTTCACTGTGTCCTACATAGGCAGCATCTTGTAGCCAAAAAACTGAGTGGCGAACTTCATGATACTCTAAAAGTGTGCATCAGGTCAATAAATAAAATTAAAGCTCATCCTCTCAATTCCAGACTGTTTGCGAAGTTATGTGAAGAAAATGATGAAACTATCAACCAATTACTTTTGCACACTGAGGTAAGGTGGTTGTCAAAAGTTGATAGTTTGCAGAGGCTTGTTGACTTGTACAACTCAGCTGAAGAGTTTCTTAGGAATGTGGATCCATCACTATGTGACCAGTTAAAACAGCGCAAGAACCATCTGTTTTATTTGGCAGACCTTTATTTGAAATTTAATATAGTACAAAAGCATTTGCAAGGAAAAAACATTACAATTGTTCAAGCTCAAACAATCATAATGGCCTTTCAATTAAAAGTGGAGCTATTTAAATCTTCACTAGCATGATCCAATTTTAAATATTTTTCAAAAGTGCGAGTACTAAAAGAAAATAAAAAGATTTCTGACTGTGATTTGGAGATATATATTAAATATCTTGATAAATTAAGAGAAGACTTTAAAGCACATTTCGAAGACTTGGAGAATATGCATGTTCCCGAATGGTTTGTTAATCCATTTGATGTAAAAATAGATAATGAAGGCAGTGAACCTGGCTTAGAAGATGAACTGATTGAAATATGTGTAGATCTTGAAGATAAAAGTGTTATTTAAAAATAAAAACCTCAATGAATTTTGGAGCAATAATAATATTATATCCCAAGTTCAGAGCAGAAGCTGAACCTTTCTTACTTGCATTCCCAATTTCGTACATGGTTGAAGCTGGTTTTAGCCATGTGAATGCAATTTACACAAAACAGAGGAACAGATTGAACTTGGAAAACCATGGTGATTTGTGACTAAAACTTACCAATTTTCAACCGAATATCAATAATCTTGCTGCTTCTCTTCACACACATCCATCCCACTAATATCAACTATCAATATTTTAATAAAAAGGTATGTTAACATATTTTTTAAGATATTCAGTAGTAGTCACAAAATGACAGTAAGAGGTTTACAAAGATAATTGTGTATTTTATGTATTATGACACGTACAGTTTAAGAATTATAGGCAAATTTCCATCTATCCATAATCTTGCAATTATTTTTTAAGATTATAAATCAGTAGAAAATATCTCCTTTTTCTGTTAATGTTATTGGGTGGATTTTATAAAATATGGGAACTATAAATTCTTTCGTTGGGTCTCCAATCAGGTCTCCTTATTGCTTAACATCAGAAATGCAAAAAATGATTTAATGTTTTTGTTAAATACTTCATCTGGGGGTCGATAAGAAGGCAAATATTCTATAAAGGATAAAAATATTAGGACAGGATAAAAAGTTTGGGAACCTCTAAACTAAACAATGGCTAACAATGAAAAATGACACATTACTGCATTTTCATGGAATGACCAGAATGCTGGTTTATCCCAGAGAGGCCATGAAATCAGATATTTCTGTATGTTAAAAAAACAGGCATGCCAGTTTAAGTGAAGTTATACATCCCTCTTTAGAAGGCGCATTAAAAAACAAACAAGTTTTTATCCTAAAACTGTGAAACTGTCAACATTATATCAAAAACTATGATTATATGTTTAATTTCTTCGTTTTGTCTTCTTTCTAACAATGTAAAATATTTGTGGAATCCCAAAAGTGCTTTTTTATGTTTATTTTATGGTAATTCAATTCAAAAATGCAAAAATTAACATATTAAATTTAAGAAGCTTTCCCTAAATTATCTCAACTTATGTCAATTAACATTGGCTTTGTGTGAAATTTGAGAAAAAGTTGTTATTTTTAAGGTTGGGGTGAATGGTCAGTGTAGCCCACACTAACCAGTACTACTATTATTAACGTCAACAAGTTACTCATTGTTTTATTGTCTTGTGAACAAAAACTCTCTTCCTGATTTTAAGTCAGTCAAATTAAAACGACATTATATTGTACTCAAAAGAATTTTTTTTTAACATTTGTTTAAACTAGTTTTGTTACATCTGATTAATTTTATTTTTTAGTTGCAGTTTAACTGGCATGCCGGTCTCCCCCGTTTATATACAGTATGTCGGTCATTTCACGAAAATACATTATGTAGTCTATGCCCTGATACATATGAAAGGAACTCGAGTACTCATGTTCAGGTAATTCAAACAAATATGCAGAAGAATTGGAAGCCGTGTCCAGTTCTATATTGTGATTTGTTTGAGAAACTGATTTCACATGGAAGTGCCATATGTAATGTCCTATAATAAGTTGCAACAGACTTCTAAGAGACTACTGCTTTCTGAGAATAGCTTATAACAGTATAAGTCTTATCAGTGACAGTATGCAAATGCAAATCACATAACAAATTTATAACTTTTCTAGACAGTTCTGTTGAAAATTACTACGTGATCTAGATGTAGTGTAAGATCCTGGAGATCCCTCTCTTTCTTTTGGGAAAGTTTACTTGATAAATCATAACAACTAACTGTTGATGTGTGTGAACATCATCACCTAAATAATTACACAGTAAGGAGAGTCAAATAGCAAAGGAAGAAAGTACACTTTCTGCCCAAACTGTCAAATTCCCACAGTTCTAGTCAGCCCACCAATGACACATACTGGAGTGACATCACAGTAAAAACATAAGAGTCACCTGATTAAATTCCCATACCTGATGGGGATGTAATGGGCTTGCACCCGAGGCTCTGGGAGGATTCCACTATAAAAGCATGTGGACCAAGACTCCCATCCTGCCATTCTCCTGGCCGACTCATCTCTTTGAAAGTCTCCATTGAAGTGCTTTCTCCAGAGAAGTCGCCCTACTATACACCGATCCTACCTCGACTAGACCTGTACAACTCTAACCCCCGTATTCACCAACACGAGTTAGAGTTAGAGTTAGGGTTAACTCTCGAGTTACTGGTAAATTGGTATTCACCAACTCCGAATCTCGAGTCAAACACAATAACCCTAACTCTAACTCTAGAAAATCGGCGAGTAGACGATAACTCTAGGTTTGACGCCTGCGCAAAGCGATCTATTTCAGAGAAAAATGGCGACATTCGACGAAGACGAGATGCTAGAAAATCTGAAATATTTAGGTTATATAGATCGTATGGAAGAAGAAGTCGGCGGATTATTTCTCCAAGAAGAAATGACCTCGAACAATTGGACGATTACGACTTTCTATGTCGATATCGTTTGCCAAAAGAGAGCGTAAGAAACCTATTAGAACGAATTGGTTTCCTCCTCCTGTTTTAAATAATTCGGCTTTTTTTTTGTGCCTGTTCTTTCACAGCTTTCTTTTTTAAATTCTTATAACAGTCCAAAAACTGTTTGGTTTTTCTAAGGGTGACACCCGGGATACCATTGAACTCCTTTGTTAGTTCTACCCATGTGCCTCTCTTCTGTTTGGAAGAAATCGCATTTGTTTTCTTGTTTTCAATGATCGATTTATATTTTTCGACTAATTCAAGTAGAATTTCCTTCTCAAAATTAGAAAATTTACGGCGTGCACTGCTTTCCATTTCACTTTCCGCCATTTTCTACACGTGTTTCTATTCTATTCTATTCTATTCGTCTCCTCCCTGGTTCATACACGTGTTTGCTTTCAACCAAAACTCTGCTTACGAAAGAAGACTTGTTTAATCTCGAACGCAGGATTGTTTTAAAATATTAACTCTAAAGTAGCGAAACTCTAGAGTTAAATTTTTATCTGAATACGAAAGAAGAGTAACTCGTAATCTGACTTCGAGTTACATCTAAACTCGAGTTCGTCAACTCTCTGTTTAACTCGTGTTGGTGAATACGGGGGTTAGAGGTATTATACTTGAGAATGATTTATGTAAACTCTCTTAGTTATTTAGAAGTTAAGTAGATAGCTCCTCAATAGGCTATGCCACTACTGAATTTAGTATTGGATAAAGATATTAGTTATTTGTAATCTGATTGTAGTCGTTCTCATGTAACCCATTAGTTTTACCATTAAAATTTGTTGAGTTATCTAAACGCTTGTGTATGGCCAACTCCTTGTCAACAAACTCGCCCACCTTCCCACTTGGACTACATTAATTATACCTTTAAGTATTATTCAAACCACAAGCTACACGAGATATGTAGAAAGCCATCCAGTGACCATGTGAGCAGACTTAACAGATTTTGTTTACTTCCTGTCCTAAAAAAAGCACTTATCAAAATGTCATATCACTCATGACAAAGTCATCAGAAGTACTATCATAGCATGGCTGATGTAAAAAGAGGTATGTCCTGTACATTCTATATATCACAGGCTCAATTAATTTCAATGAAACTATGTTGAAGTGCACCAAGACACCTTTATTATGCATTTTAAGTTCATTCCATTAAAATCCTAAACGTTGATTTATGGATACTATAAACTTACTTTCTGATCAACTCTTATAATTTCAGCAAAATCTCTAGCTTTAAACTATAAAGTCTTTTAAACTTAACTGTTTATTAATCTTAAATAATTGTAAATATAAAATATTTTAAATAATGCAGTAATAGAGTAAAATATATATAAAATTTACAATTGAAGAAATCATCTAATAACCAATTAAAAATTTATTTTAAATGTAAAAAAAATTTTTTTTGCAACCTTATACACTATAAAAATTTTATTTCAAAACTTTTTAGTAGATTTAATTATCATAAAATTTTTTAAAAATAATTAATGTGTAAAAATTTTTTTAGATTATTCTATAATTTTTATCATTAAATTTAAAAATTTTTTGAATACATTAAAAAAAATTGTTTTTGAACTAGAAATAAAAATATATTTAGCCAAAGAAAAGCTTTGTATGAAATATTTTAAATTGTGCCAATTAAAAATTTTTCAAAGAATTCATTTTCCTTAATTTCAAAGCATTTAATAACACGTTTATTAAATGTCTCAAAATTAAGAAAATGAAAGATTTTAACTTCCCGCACCGATTTAAAAATGTATTTAAATAATAATAATTTTTTGATTTAATGAAATCATCCATTGAATATTTAAAGGATGAATGAAGAAAGGAGGAATATCAGTTATATATGATGAGAGAATTAGTCAAGTTTACCAGTACCTTTCGGTTGGGATAACCACTTTGACAACAGCATTCGCTAATATCTGCAGAAGGGTCGGTAGACACCAAAAAAGGGTAGGAAGAGCAAAATGTTATTATATAATATTTAATCATAAACAATATAGAAAATGAATTAAATAAATAAGAAAAATAATAAAAAAAAATCAAAAAGTATCAAAAATAAAGATTTTCATATTAAAAGATATATTGTCGTTCAAATAAATAACTTTATAGTTACATTCAATACTTATCAAGTAATTTATAAGTAAATAACACTGATGTCCAAAATTAAAGTCCAGAAGATGTTTTCAAAAATAATATTAAATTGCCTGATAGGAAGTAAAAAATTTTGGACGTAAAGATGTACAACTGTAAAGGTAATAAATATTTTATTACAATAAAAAAGTATGTATACAGTTTTCATATCTAGGGTCATACCTTTAAAACTCAAATTTGAGACTTATTATTTTAATAAAGGAATATGATGACTTCTTATGAATATACAAGACTGGTGATGATAAAACAATCATAAACAGGCCATTTATAACCTCTTAGTCCAAGGAATTCCTCAATGAGGGCCATTCTTAACTTCTGGGCAAGGTTGATGAGATAAAATCTGCCCTCCAAGGTAATCCCAATCATTCTCTATTAAATTCAAATCTGGAGAATGGCTGGCCAGTTCATTCTATATATATATATATATATTATCACTTTATAGAAATTCATTTATAGCCTAAGCCTTTTACAGTTGACCACTATCATCCATTAAAATACTTTCTATATTCCAGCAAAATCAAAAAAAAAAAAAAAAAAATTAAATCAAAACACAAATGTTTTTGGTCTTGTTTGTATATAGTTATATGAAAAGGTATGTGACCATTTATCATGATGCCACCCCACCCCAATAAACCATCATCTCGAAGAGTCCCATTCTCTGATATTTGAAAGGAATAATGAGTTCTTTATTTCCTCTAGATGAAATTACATCAAGAATCCATGATACGGTTTTTCCATGATACATTTATTCCAGTATCTACGAAGATCTCTGAAGATAGTTGTATGAAAGTATGCAAACTCACAATTAAAGCCAAATATAATCTTCCTAGCATTGTACTCCTTGGACAACCTTGGTAAGGTCCTCTTGATTTATCACCAGTCTCACCAAACTGTTACCTTAGCAAAAAAAAACCACTCTAATGTGGATATTCAATTCCCTTGTGATCTGGGCCTGAGACTGTATTTCCAGTTGTCATATGATCTGGGCCTGAAACTGAAGCTTCCAGTTGTCATATGACTTTCCATCACATTTAATTGAGTATATGTGTGTGAGTCACAGGGAAAGCATTTTGAATGCAATGAAAAGTTTCTTGCTCTGTCTGAGAACAAGAAATGCCCAATGCATTGTTGGCTACATTTACGGTGACAACTTAATTTGCCTATTTGTCAACTTTCCAGTTTCTAATATACAAAAATTTCATTTTAGCTAAATGTTTCTCAAGTATATTTGAACACACAATACAAGTATTGTTATATTTGATTCAGTTTTTATAAAATAGCCAAAATTATAGTTTTGGACTTTAATTTTGGACACCAGTGTGTATTATATTTGTTTAATAACTCATCAGATATACATTACTAAAGAATATCTCTTTTTATGATTAAAAAAGAAGTTTTTTCATGTAATTTTCTATAGAATAAAATATTACATAAATCAAAATGCCTATATAAAATTTTGAAAATCATTTCTTAAAAAGACAAACTTTAAAATGATACTATATAGTATCACTAAATATTATGATTATTAAAAATACCTACTTTGGAAAGAGAAATTTTTAACTGAATAATAAACTGTTAACTGAATAATAACTGTTTTTATCCTGCTCCAGGGCAACCTTAGTTTGAATTGTAAGCTGAGGTTACCAAGATCAGGTGAAAAACATTTATTATTCAAGTAAAGATTTGGCTTTCCAAAGTAGACATTTTTAATATTTGTAATAATATGATGCTGAAGATACATGATGTAGCTGATCACTAAACGTGTGTTTGAAATTATTTAATTTATTTAATTGTTTAAATAAAAAAAACAAGAGAGATTTTGTTTTAGAATATTACATAATATATCACAAATTTGTAAATTTAATAATTGTTAAAATGCAAACTATATGAAAGATATACTGGAACCCTAGTAGAATCTTTTGACCTTTATCCTGCTTGTCAATAAAGATTTGTACAGTAGACCCCCCCGATAGCACAGGTTCATATAATACGGATTTGTATAACACAGCAAAAAAATTGCGATCGTGTTCATATAAACATGCTAAAAGAGACTCGTGTAATACAGTAAAACATCATCGCCAACTCATGTCGCAACAGGATTGGTTGAATCTAGACCAATAGCGGATATTGCACAAACCGTAGAGTTTAAATGAGCAGCAGACCTACTAAAAAACATTTATTATTTAACTGCCATAAAAATTATATTTATATTAATGATGTCTCCAAAGTTCAGTGAATTTTTCGCAGAAAAATAACTTATCAGAAAACACGCACCCGCCGTTCGATGCACCGCTCCGCGACGAAAACAAGCTTAAGCAATGGCGTCGTCGAACGGTGCA